CTCCTTACTTGACCCAAAGACATTAGACATTTAAAACTGGTTAGGCAGCCTAAATATTTTGTTCTTGCCTTTTTTTGCATTCTATAATAAATGTGCGTTTTCCTTCGCTCGGCTGTGCTACCGCTACCCCTGCACCCTGCATTCCCCCACAGATTTCACGTAGCGCATTTGGGACACATTTGACACTAAACAATAAAAAAAAATATAAGCACTACGAAGCACAAAAACTAAGAGAACAACAATTTTTTTTTTCGTGATTTCTGCCGTTTTTCTTAAAGCCTTTGCGTTTTGTTAACTGTTAAGTTTTTGCTGCTGTTCACTCAGTTGTGACAAAAACAAAACAACAACAACAACAACAAAAGAAATGAGAGAAAAAGACGCAGCAACTAGCTGAACGCAACTGCTGATGTTGAGTTTGTGTGTGTGTTTGCCGCGTGACTCACGACAATGGTTCGCGGCGAATTCGCAGCCAGCTGCGCAGTCGCGTGCTGTGATGCGCAGCGGCAGCGTCGGCGTTGCCGTCGGCGCTTTCAATGTCAAGTGGGAGCGACAACAACAAAACAATGCGAATTATGCTGAACAGCTTTTGAAAGCTCTAAGCTTCAATTCATAATAAATTGTTGTCGTGGTTGTTGTTGTTGTTTATGTGCTTTGAGCCACTCGCATTTGCCATTTGCTCATCTTTTACATCATTGTTACTATATATAGAGGCGCGATCTGAGCTGCAAAAACTGGTTTCGATGTCGCCCAACTTTCTACGCACATGATGGCCAAGTTCAAGGCGAGTGGCCAGTCAGTGTGGAGCTGCGTATTGTAAGTGTGGCCAAACAAGTGGAATTTCGACCCAAAGATAACGCGAATTTCACACCATGCACACACACACACAAAGACACACACGCACATAACCAAGGCGTGGGAAGTGTTGCCAGACTAACTAACTAAGGGGGGAAACTATAATTAAAAGCTAGGCAGCAGCTGAGAGAGCGCTGCACGATAAAAAGCCTGATGTGCAGCGGTGAGTTAAGATCTTCAACAGATAAGCTTATATATGTGTGTACATATATGTATTGTGTGTATATATGTATGTATTATGTTGCCTTAGCACGATCTTCAGAAACTATTTTAAAGCTCTGTTCTGACAAGATGTCAGGGGTTTGAAGAGAGGGAAAGAAAAATTAAAGAAGCGATAGCTTCTCTCTTCTATCATAATTTCACGTGATAAGGCATACAAATTGAATGCTAGAAAATTTTAAGTAGTGAAAGACTACGACAAAGCATACATAATACAGTTAGCTTATCCCTCAAGGCCCAGGTTTAAGTTATATTCATGATTTATAGCATTTATTAAAACATAATGCCGTGTTTCATTAGATAGATATTTTATTTTATCAAGTTATCAATATAGTCGCAAAGCTAAGAGTATATTTTCTGTATATATGTACATCGTAAGATCTGCTTAACATTTATTACCAGTTTTTTTTTTCACACACCTAAAAACCTATTTCCCCACGAAATTCTTTGGGTAATGATCGCTTCCAGCTATTCACAACTAATCTAACAAGCATAACTATAATTTAGAAACTTAATCTTATACCACTTCGGGCTTTTAACTCTTAAGGAAACGAACCATTGCCAAGAAAAGTTAGCTAAAAGAACGTTGGTATCTTTTATTTTTCGTTTTAATGGTCTCTTCTGTCAGCCCGATTCGTAGGGCCAAATTAGAAATTGGCACAGATCGCAGCTTGATGGCTATAAATTGGGCTAGTGCTGGTTCGGTGGGCACTTAAATGAAAATGACTTGGAAAGATGCTTGAGGGGCAGAGAGCAGAGATACCGACCAAAAGCAGACGAGAGATCTTTGGAGTCATTTGACAAATAGACAGGCAGAACGGAACGATAAAGTGTAGCTTACTTAAAATAAAACAAAAAGAAAAAGACGTCAAGTAAATTGTGTCATGCTCATCATTATAATTATCATTATTATTGTTGATTTAAGCATTTACATTCATTATCTCGTCATTGAGAGAGAGAGAGATATATATATATATAGAGAGACACTCACAATAGATGCGAAAAAAATCAAGTTTTCAATTGTTGTTGCTGTAGTTAGCATCAAGTTTAGATACTGAGCTAAGGCACCAAAATAAACCGTCATATGCCTTACGAATAGAATAAGTAATACAAAAAAAGAGGAGCGAAAAAATTAGCGGCTATCACGAGACCTAAGATCGAGTATTTGAAACAGGGCAACAAAAAAACGCACTCATCAGCAGAATTTTATTCAAAAATCGATAAATGACTTTTTCGGGCTGCCACTTAATGGTTAAAGACTTTCGGACGGAACAAACTATTTGGCAGAGTTATTATTTTTTCTAACTCTTAATGATACGCCACAGCAAACAAAAAGGAACGCCACGACGAAGATTTAATAACCTTGGCTTAGAAGTGATTTCATACGACCGATTGTTCCTATAGTAGCCATATGCTATAGTATAGTCCGATTTGATATTGTTTTGCAGTTAATTTAGAAGAGTGAAGCTCTTATTTGCTGATGGACAATATATCTTGAAAAAAAAGGGTTTTCACAAGAGAAAATTATTTTTTTACCGATTATTCCTATAGAGCTATATGCTTAGGAGCTGAGTGAAGCTCGTAAAAGGCATGACGGAACTTAGCATAGTTTCACGGCGAAAGCTCTTCAACTAAGACTATATCGAATATATCGACGGCTGTTGATACTGATCGAGAATATATGTATGTATATGCATATACTTTGTCTGCTTCTACATTTGCTGACTCAATTTGAGTACTCCTTTAATGGTATCTGCAAATAATAGACTGATCATTTGTAATAGGTTTGCCTTTATGTACATCAAACCGATAAAATGACTGTAGGTTTTTGTGTGCGTGAGTCAATCACTGAGACATTCCTTAGATAAGCGCCATGAATTGAAAATCCAGTGTACTTGAACTTGTTTTTGGCCGGCAACGGCTGGCAACCGAAGTAAGTGGCTTGCTACTCTGATAAGAACTGTTGTTATTACTAATCAGATTTGACTCTTTGATCACAGGCATATATATGTTTCGTTTTACCAGAAAAGAGAACAGATAATATATATACAATTTACAATTACTTCCAGTTTTAGAAGATTACCATTAAAGATATATTTTTCATGAAATCCTCATTTTATTTCGATTGACTACTGTGAATTGTTGGTCAAATCGTAAGAGCTCGAGAGCTGATATTTCTCTCGTGGAAGCTTTTATAAAGCAAGAGAAGCTATTCTGTAGGATTTTAAGCCCAAAAGTGTGAAAAAGTATGGCCTAAATAGTTTATCTTACGCATTCCATTTGGTGCAAACTTTTATTTTAAAGTTCCACATGAAAATAATATTATTTTCGAAATGTTCCATTGGATTAGACCAATCTACTTTCAATCAAATTGAGTTCTAATGTTTTGAGCAAGTAATAGCTCAATATAAAAAGTAATTCAACTTTAGCTATAAATATCTACATACATATATTAACCCCAAAGTTCAATGTAAACGTGCTAGTTGGAATGTTAAACAAAGACGGGCCGGGCAAGACGGGTTATATCAGCTAAGAGCATACCATTTGGCGACTTTAACAATTCCGGGTGCGAAACTGCATTTCAGATTAAATTTCAAATGCGCAAAGTGCAGATGTCACGTTTTTGCAAGCGCATGAGACTGTATGGCTGTATGACGTGTGAGGGGGCAGAGGTGACATGCATATACATATGTTCATGTACGATCTAAAATTTGCTGCTGATTGGCAGAGAGCAGCAGGAGAAGACGCAGCAGCAGCAGCAGCAGAAGCAAATCACGTTGCGTTGATAGTTGGGAGAGAGCTGTGAGAGTTGCAAATAAGCTGCGTTTTAGGCTCGGTCTTAAATAGCAAAAGCTTAACGAAGAGCGAGTGGGTGGAAAGAGAGAGAGAGAGCGAGCGAGAGAGTAATTTGCTCTCTAGGCGCTTAGAAGAAAAAATGTGAATGCGAATGTGGAATGCGCATTGTGAGAGAATGAGTCAACTTCAGCTCGACAAAAAGAAATGCGTGTGATGGACAGCGAGGACGTCAGCAGGCGGGCGGGCGAGTTGCGGTGCGGTGCATTAAAAGAGAGCAGCCACGCAATGTGTGTGCGGGTGCGTGTGCGTGTGTATGAGAGAGTGAATGAGTGGAATAAGGTCAAGCGGGGTGCGGCAAAATGTTTCCGCTGATAGCGTTGATAAAAAAAAAATAGCTCGCAACAATGTTTGAATGGCAAAAACAGCAGAGAGCAGAGGCGTTGCCAGTGACAGTGACAACAACAACAACAACAACAACAACAACAACAACAGCAACAGCAACAACATCAACAATGCACAAAGAATGGCAAATAACTGGCACAACAAATTTAAATAATAAAGAAATCCAAGTAGAAATTTCACTTTTGCTATGCGCCGCAGCAGCAGCAGCAACAAATAAATACATGAATACATTGGGCTTGGTTTTTTTTTTGCCTTTACTTCGCACACACACACGCAAACAGACGCACACAAACTGGCAGCTAGGCCGCACTTTCTTTGACGCTGACGATGGCTGCAGCTGCTGCCAACTGAGATCGTACGTCTTTTGGCGGCTTTTACAAAATTTGTTTATTAAAGCTAACAATGCGCAGGACTCATATTGCAATTAATCAATTACTACATCTAACTCACACACACACGCACGCACACAGAGCGCACTAAATCAAGCGCAAAATGTGTGCTGTTTTTTTTTTTGGGCATTTTTCATCTAAACGATGACGCGTTAGCAAAACACAATGTAAAAAAATGTAAGAACAATAAAACGAGACAGACAAAGGGCAATTGCACGCGCAGTACACATTTTGCACATCAATATACAAAAATCACAACAACAAAGTATAGCAGCAGCAGCTACACAATAAAAAAACAACAAAAAGTCTTATATGTACTTAGACCAGGCAATAAAAACATACAAATTCGTAATCACTTTGTAGCCGCCTCTTGTTGTTTGTTCTTGTTTTTTGCAGCTAACATATATATATATATGTATATATATATATATATAGGTTGACTGCAGCGCGTCTTTTACTATAAATTAGTTTTTAATTTTTGTCGAACGCCTCGAAATTGATATAAAGGTAACTCCGCTGCGCACAAAAACCGAAAATGAACTGAGTAGCAACTAGGGATGAGCGATATCTACTTGCCTAGCGATGACAAACGTTTGTGGAAATTATCGATGGTTTCGTATAAGTATCGATATTTAAAATATCATGGGCAGCCCTAAGGGACTGTATAAATTCTTATCTGGTAACAAGTTAGAAAAATACTTTCCAGTATTTTAATATATTTTTATTTACTTTTGATTGATCCCAATTACAAAATCCCTCAATTCTGCATAAATTGCTCTTGAAATGTAATATAACTTTGTTTTATGAGTGCAAGTGCACACTATCGATAATATCAGTCGATACACATACAAAGGTGGGCTGCCAGCAGCATACAAGGTGTTTAATGCGCAAGTCACTCGCATTGCTTATCAGAGTGACGTCATGAGCCCACTGTCATATTACCTAGCTCACAGGATGCAAATTTAAAGTTAAGATTACATATGATTATATATAGTATCACTAACTTTTAACTTTTGCAAAAGATTTTTTGCCAGCATCTTATATGTTATTATTCAAGAATTACGAAAGGGACTCAGGACTTCTTCACAGGGACCGTATGTGATTACTATTTTTTAACCAAAAATCATCCACTTTACCATACACCCTACCATTTTTAGATAATCTGGGCATATATGTACATATGATTTTAAAAATTTGTATACCCTTGCAGAGGGTTTTATAATCTTGTCACGAAATGTGTAACGCATAGAAAGAGACATCTCCGACCCTATAAAGTATATATATTCTTGATCAGTATCAACAGCCGATCGACATAGCCATGTTCGCCTGTCTGTTTCTATGCAAACCTGTCTGTCAGTTTTAAAGCTATCGTCATGAAAAGTCTCTCTTCCTGTTGCATATAGCTGCCATAGGAACGATCGGTCGAAAATTGGATTCTTGTACGAAAAACTTAATGTTTTTCAAGATATCTTAACCTTGCTCGGCATTAACTATTTTCCCTGTGCTTCCTAAATTCGAGCAAAGCATTTTGAAAAGGTTCGGTCTACAAGGGTATTAAAATAAAGAAACCCAACTATAAAGACATATAAAAATCAAAACAAAGGCTACATTTACTGAGCTATGCTAACTAGGACAGTTTTAAGCCGATGCTTTAAACTTGAAAGATCATATTTAATAAATCAACTTAATTTGACCTTTCACATTTTATAACGACTAGTAATTGGTTGCACTTAATAACGAATCAATTTAAAACTACAATTCAACACAGTTATTTTATATAAATCATATTTGATTCGTTTTCGAACAACTTAATGTATAAATTAAATAAGACGCAATTGAGAAGGAATCATTTTAAATACATTAAAGCTAAATCTTTATATCCTTCTGACATTGCATCTGTGCATGCAATCGAATACATTAGAAAGGGGCGCCAGGGTAGTCGATTTAAAAATAAACACAAGAAGTTGCACGCAGTATCATTTTCTCGTTACGTAAAGGATATTCTTGGCCACGTTGCGTAAAGCGTGGCAGAAAACGTGACTGCACTCGGTCGCCGACCGGCTCGCAGTCCCGAGCACGTTGATAACAAACGTGCATTCATAAATATCATCTGTTGAGTTGGTGGTGTTGCTGTTGTGAAACCACAACTGCGATGGCAGCGGACGCGTCGCGACGGACGGACGGAAGGACGGACGGTTCTTATAACTTGGGATGACGTTTCAGCAGTCTCACAAGCTGTTGATGACGATTCGTTGTTGTCGGAAGTGCTCAAAATCATGATAACTAAACCCATGTCCGCTTATGTCAATGTCGCTGTCCGGTTGCCAGCTACTCTGTGTCCTCAGACAGGTAAATGCTCCTAATCTTGTCGCTGCTTGAATTCCCCATGGGTAAATTTTCTTCCTAAGAGTCAACAATCAGGCGATTTCTCGTCGGCTGTAAGATACGTTTATAATATGAGTTTGCACCTAACACCTTGATAATAATTGTAAGCCAAGCGGTGCCGATTGAGCTGCCAAATTCGAAAAACTTAATTAACCGAACATTTTGATGCGTTTTATTTCAATTTTTCCACTTCAGTCAAGTGGATCCCGCCCAAACAGACGCAAGCTTTAACGGTGCCGAGAACATCAGCTGATCGCTGTAAAGTACGATTGTTATCGATCTCCGCTGTAAAATGCAACAATGCGCTCCTATAAACAATCTAGGTGCTACAACAATTCAAAGTTGTTTGTATGAAAATAAAATTTAGTCGAAATATTGCGAAACAAACCTAACAGGTGCTGATTTAGATAATTAACTGGTGGGAGATGCTGATTTTGATTGTATTCATAAAGAAAGTATGAACTCATAAAAAAATAGAGCAAAATCTACATTGATTTAGCTAAGGCAGCTAAACTAAACCCATATTCTAAACAACAGAAGCTGCAATAAGGAGCCAAACAATAAGTACACAATTCAACGGTTATTTTATACAACATGTAATTAGATTTTTTTTCTTTTTTGGCTACTGAAATAACATGCACGAATTAATAAATATTAAAGTTATTAACTAAATTAGGAATGATAGTAAATACATTTAAGTTTGGATATCATGAAATCATTAATTCTTTACATCCAAATTTGAATATCTTTTGTAAGGGACAAACGCATTCAATGCGAAGTCACATGATCTAGAAATAAATACGAAAAATACGACGCAAAGTCAATTTCTCGTTACATAGTGGACATTTTTTGGTCGCACGGACCGCAGCCACGATGCAAGCGTGGCAGAAAACGTGACCGCACTCGGTAGATGCCGGCTCACGGCCGCGGACACTTTCAAAGCAAACCGGGCATCTATAAACATCATCTGTTGAGCTGTTGTTGCTTGACGACGAAGGGGTAGATGCAACAACCGGGCCGGGCGGGGCCATAGGTACCCGCTCTTGATTGTTGCTGCGACGAGCAAAAAGCGCACGACGGCGAGGGTTTTCCGGGGTGCTTAGATCTATAAACGCAACAGGAGTGCGAGGTCTTGGCGGACTCGTATTATCACTGTCCGAAAGATTAATCGAATCCACTGGCCGTCGAGCTAAAAGGATAACATAAGTTTGCGTATCAATTGCGCGTAGACATACGAAAATTTCCTTAAAGTGAACTCACGGTTAGCACCTGGAGCAGGGCTGAAACGCGCTCTTATGATTCTGGGCGGCGAAGCGAAGCGAACCGACTCCCAATCACGTTCTCCTACTCTCCTACCTACACTCACATGTTAATTGCATAGAGAATATTTTAGTAGACCAGATTAGAGCGATGCATGTATTTAAAGTGTTTACTTACCTAGACCATTGGTTCCATTATTACGACCGGTTCTCAAAACTGGAGGAGAATCAGGAGTTCCACCAGCTGCACGCGACGACGAGCCGCTGGTGCTTACATTCACGGTGCTGGTGTTGGGAGTGCTTCCATTCATGTCGCTGTCTTGCTGTGCACTACTCTCATTGTTATCAGAATGGACAATGTTACTGTTCTCGTCACTGCCAAAATTCTCAATGGATGCGTTTCCTTCGGGACTCTCAACGGTTCGGCGATTTCTCGACGTCTGTAAGACATTTTTACAATTTGAGCATGCTGTCTACAGTGTGGCAGTAATTGTTAGCTAACCGGTGTCGAGGAGGCTGCTAAATTCCAAAAATTAAATAAACCGAACATTTTGATGAGTCTAATTTATATTTATTTCGCTCGAATCAAATGTATCCCGCCCTAACAGACGCATATGTCTAAATCTTTAACGGTGTGTTGTGCGCAACAGCTGCTCGCTATCATCTACGATTGTTATCGATTTCTAATGTAAAATACAAACGTACGCTGTTAAATACAATCTAGCTGTTACAACACATTTGAATTGTGTGTATAAACATGTGAATAAACGAAATATTGTCAAGCAACCCGTATGGAGGCTATATAAAATTAGGTGTGTAATTCTTGCATCTAAAATTTGAATGCTTATCAGGATATCTTGATTACTCTGATCCTTACATATAAATGCCGTAGAAGCGATACGTTGCAAGTTAGTTTCTTGTATGTACAACGTTGCTTTTCAAGATATCTTAATTTGCATACTTTTTTTGCCTTATATGGCAACCGTGATGGTGACATAGTTCTCTTTGGTAAAGCATTTTATTATTTCAGCAGCAATTAATCTGCAGAAATTGTATTATTTTTAAAATTTTCTAAATCTAAACTGATAGCACTTTTTGAATGTGCTCGTTAACTGTATTTCGTTAAGTGAGTAAATCTCTCTTAGCAATCCACAGAGTAACGAGTTCATAACATAGCGATAATGAGCGCGATATATATCGATACATTTGGCCTGCGCTTGCGACAGCTGAGCGCATTTTTTAGCACATTTTTGCAACGCGACGCGTTTGTGTAGCTTCTGCTAAAATTTTTTTTACGGTGACAAAAACAACATTAAAGCCAAACGCAAAAAGCCATTTTGTTGTGTGCGTGTGCATCCTGTGCAACACAAATCGTTGCTAATAGGATACTTTTTTTTTGTTTGTTTTTGTTGTTAGCCAAATAAGCTGCCTCTCCAGCACTAACGGATTGCAGCTGCAAAGCAAAAAGACAAACTTAACCTCGCAGCGTTTGCAAAAAAAGAAGAAAAGAAAGAAAAACGCAAAGCAAAGTGGCTAAGAAAGAAGAGAGAGAGCGAGCTACTTGTGTAAAGAAAAGTGTTTGTTACAGTACCTATTTTTCCATCCCCCTGCCCATTCATCCGATTGTTTGACATCAAAATTCCAACAACAACAAAATATAAGTAAAATAAACGGCAAGTGAAACAAAAACGAAATAAAAAAAACACCAAACACCGGCAAGCAAAGCAAAAAGTCACACATACATATGCACATATGTGTGTATGTCTGTATGTATGCATTAATGTTACTTTGGAATGTTTTTGTATAAAGGATATTGCGATTTGTATGTAAACATTGCTATTTAGCCGGCTTTGCTAAGAGAGCGTCAAATTCGTGGAACATTCGATGTTTTTGCATTTCTATGGACTGCGATAATTTAACCCTAGATAGCCTGTCTCTCAAAGTTTCCAATTGGATTTCCCAGTTTGCTAATTGGCAACAGCTGTGCAACATGCAAATCTTGATAAAAGCCAACTTTGGTTTTACATTGAAAACGTAAGATTTTTTGCATACGTATTGTCTGGATATACGTACACATACATACGTACGTACATACAAATACACATACATAACCTAAAATAGAATTAGAGATGCGCGCTGGTCGTGACCTACGCCAACAACACGATCAAGTTAAGTTGCCCGACAGAATATTTAGAAAAGAGGAAAAGCATTAATATAACTAAAAATTGTTAATATACAATATATAGTTTTGTTTACTTTTCTTTTTATCTCAATGGGAATATTAGCATACTTTTCATTTATTTATTATAACAGAAAATAAAAGATTAAATTAAAAGTAGTTTTTAGAGCATGATAAAAAATTCATAACATAATATTACTTAAATTATTTGAACCAATATTCCGATTAATAGATCAAACTGAATGAAGTAGTTAATTTATATATATTAATTTATAGCTTATTTAAAAGAGTTAATCTAATTATTTGTATATTTTGTTTTTTAATTTCATTTAGATTTTTGAAAAAAATAATAATAATAATAATAGATTATAATTTATTTGTATGATAATAAAAAATAATTAATTTAATACATTAGGTAATTAATTTTCACAAGAACTGGAATATCTTATTATATTATATAATATATTATATTTCATATTAAATTTAATAAATTTATTTGGAAGATTGCGTTCGATTATCATTCAGTTGAAAATGAATCGAATAACCGTTATGTGCGGTGCCAGGTAAACAAGATTTGATAGTTTCTTGTTTATATAACATGTGCAATTATAATTCCAATAAACAAATGCAATTCGACATTAGGATTTTTTTTATTATTATTATTATTGGAACGTAATTGGAATTTGTTATCTTTAAATGTGTAAATGTAATTATTTATTTAGTTTTTGTTCTGTCTTGCACTTTGCTTGTTTATACCATAAAAAAAAAACAATCGTATTTATTTTTTCATTAAGCAATTTTGGCTTTTTCTCAGTGCAGCTCAAATCTTATCTTAAATGCTGTTCCCATACGATTATTCATGGGCAATAGGGGTATATTGGCTTTGTGCTGGCGTATGTAAAAGGCAGCAGGAGGCATGTCCGACCTCTTATGGTATATAGGTTCTTGATTAGCATTAACAGCCGAGTCGTAAAAGCCATCCCCTGCCTGTACAAATCGAACTCAGAGACTATAAGAGCCTCCTAATGGTTGCGCAGACAGGGTTTCTTTTAATTCATCGATAACTTTCTTCGTTTTTGAACAAAAAATCGATAAATGAACTTTGTCGAAATCAAATTTTGAGCATATCTCAGGTCTTATAAGAGCTAAAGACAACAGACTTGGTATGTGCACGAATCCTGGTATGATCACTTTTTAGAAACCAGCCCGCCTTTCCCCTCAAAACGATGTTTCTGTGTATATAGAGAAGGAGGGAAGGTCACAGCAGCTTTGTGCTGCTTTCAGGGTATCTGCTAGTCGGGCAAGCCCAACTAGAGCACACTTTCTTATAGTTTTAGTGTTAATATATCAATGCTAGATACACGTATAATAAAATATCAACATTCCTGATTATGTTTGTTTATGTTTTATTAGCTAAAAGACTTTGAAATTGAGAAGATCATGAATACACACTTATATAGTATGTCATAAAGTTAGTCAAATGGGAATAGCAAGAAATTAAATTAACTAATAATAATATATCATAATAATATCATTTCAATAATGATACTAATGAGCACATAACTGTAAAAATTTCAGCTTATTTGCCACACGATCGTCATGGCGTTGACAATTGTTGTTATTGCGGTTGCCTCTCGACTCAGGCGATTCGATTGCAAACAGTACAATATTAATAACATTATTAATTGATAAAAACAAGTCAAAAAAAAAAACAAATCAAAAAACAAATTTCGGGCAGACACACAAAAACAAAAATTTATAAAAACGTAAACAATCAAAAACTCAAACAAATCGGAAAACTTGAACGAAGGAATAAAATGGATCATTTTCAAACCTCGCTGAATCCGCGCAAACAGGAGCTGCTCGAAGCACGTTTTATTGGCGTCAGGGTAAGTTTTCATATATTTTGCTACAACATTAAAAATGACCAGGAAAGGCTTTTCGAACCCCCAACTTCGTGCTCAGTTAGAAACTTTTCATTTTCCATTTATTTATATATTTTTTTTTTAATTTATTATTTTTGCTTAACTTAAACAAACAAATGTAAGATTTAGAAATTGAACCGGCGACCTGCAAAGAACACTTTTTGTGCAAATTTTAGCATAAAAATTCCCCACTTGGAGTTCGATTTTAACAAAAACCCATCTTAGCGTTCAATTTTGACCCTAAAGATTTTGTAATTTAAATTTACAACATTAATTTTCATCCTATTGTTCTTATAATAGAGTATATAAATTTTGACATAATTTTTCTTGCAAATTTTTTTCATTAATATACAAAAATTGTATATAAGCTCCATTTGAAAAGTTTTGGGTAACTAGGCGCACATGGGCTAACGTGGGTTAAGGCCCAAGCAGGCCAAACGGTTATTGCACTTTGGAATTGTCAGCAGCTACACAAGTTTAACTTTGTGCATCTTGTTGTTGTTTCTGTTGTTGGGTTGGAAACGGGCGCAGGGGTAGGCCAGTGGCATATAGAAGGGGTACGGGGGTTAGGGGGTTTGCTTGTGCAGAAAATGAAGATGGAAGATGAAGATGCTTTTCCCATAGTTTGGTGGGCCCTTTGCTGCTGCTTCTTCTTCATTTCTTTAGCTTGTTGTTCGCGTAGGGAAAAGAGTTTAACAAAGCGAATAAAATGAAAAGAAATGCACAAGCATAAGCAAATAAATTAACGTACAAAGGATGTGCGGCAAAAGAAAGCGGGTAGAGCATAAATATGTAGGTATTTACATATATGCATATGTATATGCATATACATTATGTATGGGCATATGTTTGCATGTGTGTTTTTGCAAGAATGAATCGCGCCATTTACACACACACACACGCGCACGCACGCTACAGCGGCTCAATTGCTGGGCACTGTTATTGCTGTTGTTGTTGTTGTCACCATATTGTGTCGTGGCGGACCATGGTAAACATCACATCCATGGATACATATGCATGTGTATGTATGTATGTATGTACTTATATTCTTATGTTTATATTGCAAATACATACATATTATTTCACTGTGCATTGGGTACATGATTAAGTATATACATTCACCCATATACATACATACATGAATTCACATACATACATACATATCTTTTTGCACTTGCCCTCCCAACCCACACACGCCCCCCTCCCTGGCAACTGTATGCCGTAAGCAAAACCAAACTAACTAGCCCCCCCTCTTTCCCAACTACACAAACAAACACATCCCCTATATTTCAGCTTCCCTACACCCATATCAACCAAACTCTGCACGCTAGCCCCACCCTAGTCCCACAAATACATACATATATGTATATCCCTTCTTCCCCCCTTCTCACTTCGTATTCATACGGCTCTTGCGCTTAGCTAGGCTGGTCGGTGGCTTCTGGGTCTGCCACGTCTCTGGGCGTTTGGTGTTTGAAGAAATGAAAGCAAAAGAACAGCTGATAAGCGCGGCGCTGCCGTCGCCAACGACGACGACATCAACATTTGCTCTGCGCTGTTAACAGTGCAACGCTAATGTAAGTGACTGTGTGAGCTGTTAATGCTTGTGTTGGATTGGGCGAATGTGGTGAATAGTAAATTCAACTCGTTGTGAACAGCAAGTTAAGTATTAACTGATGATCAGAGCGAACAAATAGCTTTCACAGTGGAACGCAAAATTAAGTTTCTCTTGATTTCAATTTTAGTTTTAACCTTAGAGTGCAGTTCCAGTTAAAATTAAAATTGAATATGAAAAAAAATGACAGAAAAAAAGTACGTAACGCTTGTGTCGCTAAAATGTTAGCTTATATTGTTCCTTACGCGATATACGCTGTAATTTTGGATGCATTAAACCTAGAAAAGAAATTGTTTACTACTTAATCACAAGAAATTGAATCGTATGTTCACTGCTGTTGCACCACTGTGCACAAGTAAGCAGTGCACTGTTAACTAGCATTGCACTGTTTTAAACAATTGCTGTTACTGTTGTTGCTGGGTGCTGCTGCTGCTGCATTTCTGTGCGCCTCATACAGGCGTTTAAAAATTGTTTCACTCCATTTGCAAATTAACGCAAATTGCACCGTAAATGTTAATAATAATACGCTGTCGGCAGCATCCCGAACAGACCAAGACCCCCTAACAACAGAAATCGTCAAATATGATGTACATTTAAACAGGCATACATATGTAGATATGTATGTGTACATACATAACATAGTATTTAATTGGCCTGCGCCTGTCAACACACATACCACGGCAAAAGCAGCGTCAATCGACGGCGTCTGCGGCAGCGGCTTCCGCATGTTATTAACAGTGACGTTGCCGCCGTCGCCGTTTGCCGGCATATGCGCAACACACAACAAAAAATGCGAAAAGCAAAAAAAAAAAAACTACTACAACAATGTGTGTAGTGCGCGCTGCTTTCTGTTGTAGTCGTAGGTCGCTGCTGGCAGTCATTTTAACAGCGACGCTGTCGCTGCTTTGCTGTTGTTTTTGCTGTTGATACTCTCGACTGCAAATGCTCTCGCTCTTTTACTCACCATGGCGGTTGTATGTATGGCTGTGTGTGTGTGTGCGTATGTTGGGGCCGGCTTGTTAACGGCTGTTTTGGCTTTTGTTACGCATTCGGTCTTTGTGGTTAATCAGTTTATTTTTGTACAGTATGTTGTTGCTGTTGTTGCTATGGCAACCCGTACGGACGCTTTTGTTTTATGTTTCCTCTTATTTTTATGAGCTTTTCATTGAGTGTGTCTTTGATATCATCTACTTTTTTATGAAATTTATTGGTGTCGTTTTAACGCTCATTCAGTTTGTATGCCCTTATCAGTCTTATCAGTTAAGCTTTACGGGGCGCGCCTTTGCTTCGGCTACGGCTGCGGCTACGGCTCGCTCGTTATCCCGTTTACCCGAAGCCCAAAAACTAACCACCAAAAATGATTTAGCAATTCGCCGCCAACGCCAACGCTAGCGTCGCCGCCATCGCAGCTCACGAAGATCGGGCTAAAAGGCAGAGCCCGGCAAGTGGCAAAACGGAAAATGGTAAACGCAAAACGAAGCTGCGCCCGGCAGTTGTAAAACGGTCGTTTGGCTTTGCTGGTTGCTGGGGCGCTCTCTTGCTCCTTTGCGTCCTGTATGTGTGTGTGTGTGTGTGTTACATGCGATTTTCCAAGTTGCAACAGCAGCAACAACAACAACGCCAACTCATTGCTGCAGCAGCGTCGCAGTGCTCGCAGTCAGCGTCAACGTCGCAGCCGCGGCGCCGGCATTTTTTTCTTTTTGTTTTTTACATTTTTTCTTAGTCCAACTGCATGCTGTTTTTCACTGTTTTCTCAGTTGATTGCCACGCTTCAATGGAGTTTCAGTTCGACTTCGAGTTGTTGTCCATTGTTGTTGTGCTTGTGGTTGTTGTTTTTGTTGTCGTTGACATCGCTGCCTAGCGCACGCGTCTGTATGTATGTGTGTGACATTGTGTGTAAGTGAGCGAGAGCTTTATGTGAGAGTTGAAACTGTAGAAAACGGTGCAAATATTTAATTTTTTTTTCTGTGTATGTGTCTGTGTGTGTTTTTGCATTGCTGCTGCATATTGAACTAGAAAAATAGCGACAGTGGCAACTGAAAATAAAGAGCAGGTACAAAGAAAACAGAAAACAAGTGCAAAAGCAATCACAATAACAAAGTGTTTAAGTAGAAGACATTAACAGAAACTTAGCGAAGACACAAACCGCGCGCAGCATGCCTGTTATAAAGCAACGGAAAATGAGTCGCTTTAAGGTTAGTACAAAACGTAATGTAACGCAGCGCATGAAGAAAGAGGATACGCCAGAATAAGAAAGAGAGAAACAAACGTAACAATCAGTTCTTTATTGTTTGGCTGCATTTCTGATTTGCCGTTTAATTCTGTGTACATGTACGTAGATTTTCGCACTTCCGGTAAAATGAAGTGCATGAGTAGCAGGATAATAAGCAATAAAGCAAAAAGACAGAAGGGAGAGAAAGTGAAAGAGATGGAGAGTGTGGCGCAAATAAAGGCAACGGATAGGGGAGAGACAGAGAAAGTGATATGTGAGAGAAGCTATGAAGAAGCTAAAGCAAATCAGCTAGCGAAATGCACCGATAATGGGTGAATACCCTACAACTGAGTGGGTGTTGGGGAGGACTCAAGCTTTCGAGTAGGCGCAAACCGGATCACCGAAGTGATATTTTCAGACAGAAGGAAATGGGTGACGATTTTTTGACTTACAGACATACATAGATACATGTATGTATGAATGTATGTATATGTGTATGTTTGTATGAATTCGCAAATGAAACCGAAAAGATCTAAACTTCCATAAAAGTTATATGCATACATATGTATATGAATTAAGTAAATTATATTTGAATGCAAATAATTAATTTGCGTGGCATGTAAATAAATAATGTTACTTTAAATTTATAAATATGTCATAAATATATAACACATATCTATAGTTTTTTTTTTTTAATTTGTTTATATGTGTACATATGTATATACATACAATAATATTCGTTTTCTGACATTTATTTGTCAATAATTAACGCGAGACTCGTTTGGATCATGAGATTTGCTCGCATTGCATTTTGTCTCCACGTTAAATGTGGAGTTGTCAATCTTTCATCGATATTATCCTTTACTATATTTTTTAGCCTTAAATACACTATGTTATAGCTCAATCGAGTGCGCCCGACTGCACCTTTATAACATATTAGCGATTGTTGACTGTAAAAATAATAAATATCTAAATCTTTTTTCTTGAAAATGAACTAAAATTGTTAGTAATGCTCTTTGAAATGTCAAAATTAGTATTGTAAATACTCAACAGTTTTATTTATTTATTTTTATTCTTATTGTTTTTATTTTTTATTTGGTCAGCATATAAGAATTGCTACGCAGCTTTAATTTACCAATA